ATGAAGATCTCAGTCATGATGGACACAGCAAGGCTACCTTCTCTGTACATCATATGAAGATCTCAGTCACGATGGACACATCAAGGCTACCTTCTCTCTACATCATATGAAGATCTCAGTCACGATGGACACAGCAAGGCTACCTTCTTTCTACATCATATGAAGATCTCAGTCACGATGGACAAAGCAAGGCTACCTTCTCTCTCCATCATATGAAGATCCTAGTCACGATGGACACAGCAAGGCTACCTTCTCTCTCCATCATATGAAGATCCTAGTAACGATGGACACACGAAGGCTACCTTCTCTCTCCATCATATGAAGATCTCAGTCACGATGGACACAGCAAGGCTACCTTCTCTGTACATCATATGAAGATCTCAGTCACGATGGACACAGCAAGGCTACCTTCTTTCTACATCATATGAAGATCCTAGTCACGATGGACACAGCAAGGCTACCTTCTCTCTCCATCATATGAAGATCCTAGTAACGATGGACACAGGAAGGCTACCTTCTCTCTACATCATATGAAGATCCTGGTAACGATGGACACATCAAGGCTACCTTCTCTCTACATCATATGAAGATCTCAGTCACGATGGACACAGCAAGGCTACCTTCTCTCTACATCAAGCGAAGATCTCAGTCACGATGGACACATCAAGGCTACCTTCTCTCTACATTAAATGAAGATCCTAGTCACGATGGACACATCAAGGCTACCTTCTCTCTACATCATATGAAGATCTCAGTCACGATGGACACAGCAAGGCTACCTTCTCTCTACATCAAGCGAAGATCTCAGTCACGATGGACACAGCAAGGCTACCTTCTCTCTTCATCAAATGAAGATCCTAGTCACGATGGACACAGCAAGGCTACCTTCGCACTACATCATATGAAGATCTCAGTCACGATGGACACAGCAAGGCTACCTTCTCTGTACATCATATGAAGATCTCAGTCACGATGGACACATCAAGGCTACCTTCTCTCTACATCATATGAAGATCTCAGTCACGATGGACACAGCAAGGCTACCTTCTCTCTACATCATATGAAGATCCAAGTCACGATGGACACAGCAAGGCTACCTTCTCTCTCCATCATATGAAGATCCTAGTCACGATGGACACAGCAAGGCTACCTTCTCTCTCCATCATATGAAGATCCTAGTAACGATAGACACAGCAAGGCTACCTTCTCTCTACATCATATGAAGATCCTGGTAACGATGGGCACAGCAAGGCTACTCTCTCTCTCCATCAAATGGCGATCCTAGTCACGATGGACACAGCAAGGCTACCTTCTCTCCACATCATATAAAGATCCTAATCACGATGGACACAGCAAGGCTACCTTTCCTCCACATCAAGCGAAGATCTTATATGAACACCAGCATGGGGACCTTCTCTCTCCATCACCTAAATGATCTTGCACAATATAATAGATACATATGTACAATCCTAGTGGACAAATTGTGACTGACACTCCACCGATAATATACAGTGCAAAATGAGAAATTCAAAAGATTTATATTTTATATATCAAACAGATAATCAATAGAAGGTAGTCGATTGTTCAAAATGGGCACACATCAATGTTCCAGGTTCAATATGGCACACATGGGACAGTATATTCCAAGGTCATCTGTTCTCAATATCTTGTATGGCCACCCTAAATCTGGAGGGCCATGGCAGGACCTGGATGTTGTGATTCCCGAAAGCGGCTTTTATCAGACTTACTATGTGAGGTCGGGCGTTGTTTTGTTGGAAAATGACGTTGCCTTGTTGCACAATGGGAAGGACGTGTGGCCGAAGAATCTCATCTGTGTAACGTTGTGCCGTCAAATTCCCCAGAACTTGCACCATGTCTACCAGTGTAGGAGATGGCTGCCCAGATCATCACACAACTACCACCACATCTGTCAACTCCCTGCATGCATGACGTTCCCCGCGACGCCTGTAAATACGACGTCTATCGTCCACATGGCAAAGCATAAAATGTGACTCGTCACTGAACTAAACTTTTTTTTAAATAGCAGTTGCGGACATACTCTGTGATCTTGACACCATTGACGTCGCACCCGACGATGCAGGTCCGTCAAAATGTCACCTCGAACTTGTCGTTTAGCGCGAATACCTACAGCACGAAAACGATTCGACATTCCTACGAATTCTTGGTATTGCCGTAGTTGTAGACGTGGTCGTGGTTGTTCTTTCACGTAAGTGACGTCGCCGTATGGATCTGTCCTGTGCTCTAGTAGTGATACGTGATCAACCGGATCTGGGAAGGTCCCGTGTTGTGCCGTGTGTCTAATGAGAGTTCTACAGTCTTGTAATGATGCTTGGTGCTACGTGAGAAACCTGGCTAAAGTTGGAAATGATTCTCCTGTTTGCAGTCGGCCGAGGGCGTTGTTGCATCGGGCTTCCGACAGTCGTGGAATGTTTTCGCTTTTCACTCGCTGTAAGACTGTGATGCCATACATATGAAAACCCAACGTTGCACGTACATATCATGTTGGTGTGTTTCGGCGCCAGACCCCCATGTGGTTGTGTTTTTGCGATTTTCCATTTATGCAAAAAATACCCGCAGTACCTCATCCTTTCAACACAAATCAATCCCAATCCATGCAGAAATGAACAATTAATTTATGGTATTAAGTTTGTATTGAGGTCGGCAACTCTCTGTCCGATATTTACGATTTTACTACTTTTGTCTTTCTATATACCTGGCACAGATACGAGTATACGTATGTTCATTTCAAAGATGGGTTCACACATTGCAAAGGTTTGTTTATCTGTTGGTGGCATCGGGACTTCTGTTGATAGTAATACTACGCACATACCATTGAAGGTGAAACCAAATGTTCCAAATAGTTTAAAGGATGGTTCCTTCGAATGCCTTAGTTTGGACAACAGGAATAAGAGGCAGCCTAGGTGTCAAATGGAAAAGTAAATTCTACTACCCTTTCTTTACACTCTTAATTTTACCCGTACATATTCAACAGGCCAAATGACTAGTCCTGCCTACTTATTTGCAAGGTTCATCACACAGTATGCTTCGTTCGTTGCAAATGACTTCATCTTCCTCACAGCACTGACTTGGAATTTCTGTCGTTTTATTTTGAACCTCTAAGGCTTGTTTTACAGCAGATTCTGTATCGTCCTCATTGATTGGTACTGTTATGTCCAGTTCAGTGTTCTCTCTTGATGTCCCCCTGGTGATAGTGGACAGAAATCCAAAGACAGTGGCCCCGAAAAACATTGCAACTGCAAATAAATGTTTAAATGTACAGCTATATGGTTATTTTGTGTCAATGATCTCACTAAGAATAACCTGGCTTGATAGGTGTACGTCCGATATGACAATATATAGGCTTGGAATTGGACAAATTCACAAATAACCAATAACTAGCTTCAGAAAAGATTTTGTTGAAATGATGGGACATTGAACTTGTAGAGATTTAGAAACTAGAAACTCTAACGTCATGTTGTCAGTGTATTTGATAATTGTTTGTTTATCGTTTCTAATCCGTTCCCTGGGTTATGTATGAGGTGGGTTGAGGTGAAATGGAGTCCAAGAGTATTGCACTCATATATATATATAAATAGCGACGTGCATGTACGTTTGTGTGTGTGTGTGTTTGTGTGTGTGTGTGTGTGTGTGTGTGTGTGTGTGTGTGTGTGTGTGTGTGTGTGTGTGTGTGTGTGTGTGTGTAGCTGTGTGTGTGGCTGTGTAGCTGTGTGTGTAGCTGTGTGTAAATGTGTATGAACGGCTTCACTTTCATAAATGCTTATTTAACGGTCCCGAGGTGTTGGCCCTTCAGACGGGATTTCAAACTAGGTCAAACTGTTTGAGTTGTGTACACCACATGTTGTAGTGTAGGCTGTCCTGCTCTAGAAATCAGCATTGTCAATGATCATGATCATGTATTACAGGCAGGGTGTGTCTTGTGTAGTCGTTGTAACGCATATTTACTTAATCTGTGTACATTGGCACAACGGGATTCTGAGTCTCCAGCTTACACTGCTTGTGGTGAAATAAAAATGGTCAATCACTCGTGCACACATTGGGTTCGAATCCCGATTTGCCTCAGTTATGTTTTCAGGTTTATCATCAACATACCTACATTACTTAGGGCTTTCCTCCCACATTAAATTGACGTGCCGTAAAATAACTGGAATACTGCTCAAAGCGCCGTTAAACCCACTTACTCACACAAGACACTACGCTTGTCATATATATATAGCGAAGTGCATGTACGTTTGTGTGTGTGTGTGTGTGTGTGTGTGTGTGTGTGTGTGTGTGTGTGTGTGTGTGTGTGTGTGTGTGTGTGTGTGTGTTATGTATGGATATGAGGTATTTCATTGGAGGTAAATATTGATGTGTGTCGGATTTTAGATTCACCAGCGTAATAATGCGACTTCAATCTTGCTTTTCGTCATTACTCGAAAATCCACACATGAAACAATGATGAAAGTTGTGAAAAGTTCAAAATTAAATTCCTTATTTTGGGGGATGTGGAGGTAGAAAGGCATGTGTGTGTCTGCTTGTGTATGTGTGTCTGTGTGGGGGCACGGGTGGCCCAGCTGTCTTAGGCGCAGCGATTCGCTGTGCAGATTTGGGCACGCCAGAAACCTATGATTGTGGGTTCGAATCCCGGCTGGCCCCGATTATGTTTTTAAGTTTGTCAGCACCATACCTGTGCTCGTGCGTTTCACCGAAGTGGTAAATATCTGAGACCTCAAACACTTCGGGCTTTCCTCCCACATTAAGCTGACACGCCGTGATATAACTGGAATACTGTTAAAAGCGGTGTTAAACCCAACTCACTCACTCACTCACTCACTCACTCACTCACTCACTCACTCACTCACTCACTCACTCGCTCGCTCGCTCGATCAATCAATCAATCGATCAAATCACGAACATTATTGGAAAATCATCTGTCTCCGTAAATTCATTGCTTTGTTTTGAATCTGATAAAGCCAACAGGCATTGCAATAAAGTATAATGTGAGTTTTGTTTGGATTAATGATAACGGTTCTTGAGTAACATACCAGCAAAGATAAAACCGCTGTCATAACGTCCACTTGCTTCCACTAAGGCTCCTGAAACAGATCAGACATGACTCAGAATACTGCCGAGTACGGCGTGAAACCTCAGACAAACAAAGGAACATAGTTGGACTGATTGTCAAGACTTCATCCGAAGCATTATCCAGTTTGTGTCTAGTCTGTTGTTCGTGTCATACTTTTAACTGACCACAAACATTTAACCTCTCCTTCCATCACATTTGATATGTAATCCTTGAATTCTGTTTTTGACCTGCGATTCCATATTTCATTTTATGAGTATATCAAGACGTGGTGTAAATCTTAACATATAACAAAGCAAGTAGTTTTTGTTTTGTTGAAACCCCGTGAGGGTATACCGACGGATTGATCTGAAAAAAAAATCTTCTTCAAAATGAAACGAGACACAAGGAACCACCCTCATATTGTAAATCCAATTTGTACAACTAGTTAATTCATAAGTAATCGTACCTACCTGCAATGGGAGGTCCTATCAGGAATCCAGTTCCACAGAAAAACAACCCTACACCTAATCCGGTAGCAAAATCTTCAAGTTTAAGAATCTGAAGTGTCAAAGTGTTCACGAGTATCCACGTGCCTCCAGTATATAGCCCGAGGATAAAGCCGTAAAATATTCGTAGAAAGGGTGATGTCAGGAACAGCGGCAAACTCAGTGTGAAAATCGCCATAATACCATTTAGTGCAGGAAAAACAGTGGCACTGTCAATCTTCTCATCACTCAGAGCAAATCCTATGAGAATACGTGAGACGATACTTCCTATGCCTGAAGCTGATATAACAAAGGCTCCTTCCTGGAATGTAGATCCCTGTTTTATAAAGAAATCCGGCAGAAAGAGATATTCTGTTGACACAGCAAGTGCAAAACACAAAAGACTGATTATAAAGCATAAAAATGATAAATTACTCAAGACAGAGTAAAATCTGCATATATCGACGCACATTGTCCTTCTGGATTTGCTCTTCTCAGCCACGTGTCGCCTTTTTCGTTCAAATGTTGCTGGTCGCATTAGCATCCCGGCAACACACACGTGAAACGTGATACCCCCGACGATAAGAAAGGCTCCATGGAACCCGTATGATTCCACTAGATACCCCACAAGAGGGGGGTGTACAAATATACCAAGTCCAACTCCAGAAATTGATATACCTGTAGCTAAGCCTGCATTCTCTGGAAAGTAGTATCCAAGAATGACTGAACTGCCAGTGTGTGCTAGACCAGTGCCAAGACCTGAAACATCAAACAGTCAAAACAGAGCTGTACTGGTTACTTGACATGATGGAATGTTGAGGATGCGGAACCCTTTAAGTAGATGGATACACTTAGAGGATGGGTCGGAAGGTTCGGTTTTATGTCACATTGGAAATTGTTCCAGGTATGTCAATGCGTGTTACCTTGATACGAGCAGAAAGCCCAAAGTCACGCATGGTCCTTAACCATTTTTGTGAAACTATAGGTGTACTAAGCCCTGTCAGTGGATCCTTGAAAGAAGTATCTTGAGCGACTAAAGATAGCAACTCCGCACAATGCATGGTTCAATCGTACCCCTTTATAATGTACATTGTACATGTATAGATAATAGATTATGTTCACGCCAGAGATTACATTGATGTTCGCGAAGGGTTGGGCATGGCCTTTCCTACCAGTAAAGAAGATTATCTTGAAAACAAGGAGAATCTTTTTTCCTGAAATATTTTCACAAACTACCAGTATCATGAGCATTAAGGTTGTACGTTTCTTGTGCAGAGGAGAAATGAATTGAGATAGATGGTTCAACCGTGGCTCCTCAGCAAATAAAGTGTTGTTAAGTAATGTCTAATATCCAGAAAACTTTACGTATTAATGATAACGTGGTAGTTTGGTACCCATGAAGCCTTTCTTAGATACTTATGTATTCTGATGAAGACACGTCTTCACATACAGTGGGAGTGAAATCTATCGACTTTTCTGGTAAAACCAATAACAGAATTTTTCCTCCAAACTTGAATTTAAAAAGACAAGACACTGAGGATAGACTTTCTGAATAAAGTGTGGACTTAACACTCAATATCTACCTGCTATCAAGGCATAGGATATGAACAGCAGCTTCATGTCAGTCACCAGAGAGCTGGTTGCGAAACCAATCATCATTAAAGCTCCTGAAGTCACCACACACGTTCTACAGTCAAAGAGGTTGATTATCAAGCTGGCGATGGGACCTGAAAAGGAAAGAGAAGTTTTAGGTGGATGTGGAGGTAGAAAGGCATGTGTGGCCCAGTCGTCTAAGGCGCCGCGATTCGCTGTGCAGAGTTGCGTCCCTTGGGCACGCCAGAAACCTATGATTGTGGGTTCGAAACCCGGTTCGCCCCGATTATGTTTCTAGGTTTGTCAGCACCATACCCGTGCTCGTGGGTCTCACCGAAGTTGTAAACGTCTGAGACCTGCATCACTTCGGGCTTTCCTCACACATTAAGCTGACACGCCGTGATATAACTGGAATACTGTTAAAAAAAGGCGTTAAACCCAACTCACTCACTCACTCACTCATGGAGATAGGGCCATGACACATAAACTGTTATTTCATAGTCCGTTTGGTGTAATGTGGTACCGATGAAATGCAAAATAGATATAAATCCAAAAACAACACTTGGTCTTAAATGGCATGAAAGTTGTTTATTTGTCCATATCAACTCGTCACTATAATTTCAGATATTGTCATGAAGTAGGGAAAAAGTTGTTTAACAAACTCACATGAGATTGTTGGTGTTTAGATGTATGTTGTTACAACTGGGTCTGCACTGTAAACTGAACAGCCCTACATTTGCACGTGAAATTCGCGCGTGTTAGGCAAACCCACTTCTGTCGTTTAAGTAATAAAATCATGTCAAATGAAAAGTCTAATTCAGAAGCGTGTCTTTATGTGGTAGTTATTAAACGGAGTATACAACGCGAATCTGTAAAATATTATCAAAGCAATGTTAGCGATGTTCTTGGTATTGCTATTCACCTAATTTTCACATGCAAATAATATAATTAACAGACCGAGCTAAATAGATCAATACACTACGGTACATGATGACATTAACAGGTGATTTGAAAACCTTGGTATTTCACGTTATGATTATTGCATGTCGGAGAGGGTGCACTGACAACATTGGGACCGGAACTCATGTTGTAAAGGAGACGGTTTAGATCATGCAACTGTCAGTCAAACCATTATTTCAGTTGACAGTAACAGTGACAGTGACAATGAAAATATTTCAGAAAAGAAGTTCTGAGACTACCCCTGTGTTCCGCTATGCCCTAAAGCTGTTATGTTTATTGCGCATACCCCATTGTAACAACATCCATTGAAACACAATAATTACATGATAGTTTGTTAAACAACTTTTTTCTCTACTTCATGGAAATAATGATAACGAGTTGATATGAACAAATATATTACTTTCATGTCATTAAAGACGAATTATTGTTTTCGGATTTATATTTGTTTTGCATTTTATTGGTACGATTTTGCAGCACAAAGGACTATAGTATTAGTATTAGTATTCTATAACCCAACCAATCAGGAAACACTCGTCTGCTAGTTGGCATGGCCTAAATATTTTTCGATTTATACACTAAAAAAAGCATGGCTGCACAATCAAATGCCACGGAATCTGTTACAACATATTTATTTCTCAATGTATTTCCCCATACCTGTTAGAGCGAACATGCTGGAGTACAGGGATCCCATCCAGGCTGTCAGTGTTATATCCTCGTTGAATTCATTCAGCAGTGCAACATAGAACACACCAACTGCGTAGCTGATGCTGGGGCCAAAGAGGAAGGATGCGAATGAAGCAGCAACCACAACCCAGGAGTACCTGTTCGGTTCCACCATGTCTGTGCACCTGTAAACGTCTTCACATCAGGTATATGCTTCGTTGTTGTTTAACACCGGACCCAGCAATAGACAGACAGACTGACAAATATATTCGGTACTTCAGGCCACCGGCCCATAATACAATGGAAATATACTGTATATATTTGCATGCTGAGTAGATTTAATAATGATTTACCGTTCCACACTGTTTCCTTTCGATGTTCATGACTTGGGAGAGAAATGTACCTAAGCCTTTTATAAATTGTTCGTTTTCAGCTGACATAAGTCTTATTAAATTCTCAATAGAGGGAGGGGTAACGAGACGCTTGGGAAAAGAGTTTCTTCTTGCTCTAGAATACTGGTCACAAATCATAAGAATTCATCTTCAACATGGTAATGTTCCTTTGAAAAACAAACCTGGACCCAGCAATAGTACAGCTTATGACGGCGGTCTGTAAAAATTCGAGTCTGACCAGACAATCCACTGATTAGATCAGCAGCATCTGTCTACAATTGGGATACGATGACATGCATCAACCAAATCAGCTCGTCTCACCACCCGATCCCGTTAGTTTCTTCTTACGATTAGCATGGTTTACTGAAGATCAATTCTAACCCGGATCTTCACATGTTAACACGATGAGATGAGCCACTAGATCTATATGGATTGATATGTTCATTTAAGGTGGGGTGAGGTGAAATTGGGATTAACGTCGCGTCCAAGATTATTGCACTTATATAGCGACGTGCATGCACGTGTGTGTGTGGCTGCTTGTACCAGTCCGGACTGATGCCGATTTATAGTGCTAGCTCACCGAGATAGCATGCTGCAGTTTAACATGAATACCCCACTCAGACACAGTATACTGACTCTGAGCCGACCAGTCCTTGTTTTAGCCCCTTAATGCCGAGCGCCAGACAGGGTAACAACAAGTACCATTTTTTAACGTCTTTTGGTATGACGCGGCCGGGGATCGAACTCCGGATGTTGCTCATCGTGCAATAAAATACTGTAGGGAGAATAAACCACGAGGAGCGCATACAACCAGGTATGGCCTACGCGACAATAGAAATATAATCCTATTTATAATGGCATACATCAGAATAAGATAAATTAATACATATACTTACCCAATGCTTAATGTTAAGTTTGGAAATGCGTTGCACATACTCTCTCTCTCTCACTCTCTCTCTCTCTCTCTCTCTCTCTCTCTCACTCACTCTCTCTCTCTCTCTCTCTCCCTCTCTCTCTCTCTCACACACACACACACACCCAAACACACACACACACACACACACATATCTGGACATGAGCTGACGGCTGAACTTAACTTACACTGCAAAGTGTCAGATATCTAGACATTAGCTGACGGCTGAACCTAACTAACACTGGACAATGTCAGATATCTAGACGTGGGCTGAATGATGAACGTAACCAATAAACACCGAACAGTGTCAGATATCTGGACGTGAGCTGACGGCTGAACGTAACTAACACCGGACAATGTCGGATATCTGGACGTGAGCTGAACGATGAACGTAACCAATAAACACCAAACAGTATTAGATCTGGACGTGAGCTGAACGATGAACGTAACCAATAAACACCGAACAGTATTGGATCTGGACGTGAGCTGAACGGTGAACGTAACCAATAAACACCGAACAGTGTCAGATATCTGGACGTGAGCTGACGGCTGAACGTAACTAACACCGGACAATGTCGGATATCTGGACGTGAGCTGAACGATGAACGTAACCAATAAACACCAAACAGTATTGGATCTGGACGTGAGCTGAACGATGAACGTAACCAATAAACACCGAACAGTATTGGATCTGGACGTGAGCTGAACGGTGAACGTAACCAATAAACACCGAACAGTATTAGATCTGGACGTGAGCTGAACGATGAACATAACCAATAAACACCGAACAGTATTGGATCTGGATATGAGCTGAATGACGAACGTAACCAATAAACACCGAACAGTATTAGATCTGGACGTGAGCTGAACGATGAACGTAACCAATAAACACCGAACAGTATTAGATCTGGACGTGAGCTGAACGATGAACGTAACCAATAAACACCGAACAGTATTAGATCTGGACGTGAGCTGAACGATGAACGTAACCAATAAACACCGAACAGTATTAGATCTGGACGTGAGCTGAACGATGAACGTAACCAATAAACACCGAACAGTATTAGATCTGGACGTGAGCTGAACGATGAACGTAACCAATAAACACCAAACAGTATTAGATCTGGATATGAGCTGAATGATGAACGTAACCAATAAACACCAAACAGTATTGGATCTGGACGTGAGCTGAACGATGAACGTAACCAATAAACACCGAACAGTATTAGATCTGGATATGAGCTGAATGATGAACGTAACCAATAAACACTGAACAGTATTGGATCTGGATATGAGCTGAACGATGAACGTAACCAATAAACACTGCACAGTGTCAAATATCTGGACATGAGCTGACGGCTGAACTTAACTTACACCGAACAGTGTCAGATATCTGGACGTGAGCTGACGGCTGAACTTAACTAACACCGGACAATGTCGGATATCTGGACGTGAGCTGAACGATGAACGTAACCAATAAACACCGAACAGTATTGGATCTGGACGTGAGCTGAACGATGAACGTAACCAATAAACACCGAACAGTATTGGATCTGGATATGAACTGAATGATGAACGTAACCAATAAACACCGAACAGTATTAGATCTGGACGTGAGCTGAACGATGAACGTAACCAATAAACACCAAACAGTATTAGATCTGGACGTGAGCTGAACGATGAACGTAACCAATAAACACCGACCAGTATTAGATCTGGACGTGAGCTGAACGATGAACGTAACCAATAAACACCGAACAGTATTAGATCTGGACGTGAGCTGAACGATGAACGTAACCAATAAACACCAAACAGTATTAGATCTGGATATGAGCTGAATGATGAACGTAACCAATTAACACTGAACAGTATTGGATCTGGACGTGAGCTGAACGATGAACGTAACCAATAAACACCGAACAGTATTGGATCTGGACGTGAGCTGAACGATGAACTTAAACAATAAACACTGACCAGTATTAGATCTAGACGTGAGCTGAACGATGAACGTAACCAATAAACACCGAACAGTATTAGATCTGGACGTGAGCTGAACGATGAATGTAACCAATAAACACCGAACAGTATTAGATCTGGACATGAGCTGAACGATGAACGTAACCAATAAACACCGAACAGTACTGGATGTGGATGTGAGCTGAACGTTGAACGTAACCAATAAACACCGAACAGTATTGGATCTGGACGTGAGTTGAACGATGAATGTAACCAATAAACACCGAACAGTATTGGATCTGGATATGAGCTGAACGATGAACGTAACCAATAAACACTGCACAGTGTCAGATATCTAGACATGACCTGACGGCTGACCTTAACTAACACTGGACAGTGTCAGATATCTAGACGTGGGCTGACGGCTGAACGTAACTAACCCCGGACACTGTCAGATATCTAGACGTGAGCTGAACGATGAACGTAACCAATAAACACCGAACAGTATTAGATCTGGACGTGAGCTGAATGATGAATGTAACCAATAAACACCGAACAGTATTAGATCTGGACGTGAGCTGAACGATGAATGTAACCAATAAACACCGAACAGTATTGGATCTGGATATGAGCTGAACGATGAACGTAACCAATAAACACTGCACAGTGTCAAATATCTAGACATGACCTGACGGCTGACCTTAACTAACACCGGACAGTGTCAGATATCTAGACGTGGGCTGACGGCTGAACGTAACTAACCCCGGACACTGTCAGATATCTAGACGTGGGCTGAATGATGAACGTAACCAATAAACACCGAACAGTGTCAAATAACTAGACATGACCTGACGGCTGAACTTAACTAACACCGGACAGTGTCCGATATCTGGACATGAGCTGACTGCTGAACGTAACTTACACCGGACAGTGTCAGATATCTAGACATGAGCTGACTGCTGAATGTAACTAACCCCGGACAGTGTCCGATATCTGGACATGAGCTGACTGCTGAACGTAACTAACCCCGGACAGTGTCCGATATCTGGACATGAGCTGACTGCTGAACTTAACTAACACCGGACAGTGTCCGATATCTGGACATGAGCTGACTGCTGAACGTAACTAACACTGCACAGTGTCTGATATCTAGACATGAGCTGACTGCTGAACTTAACTAACACCGGACAGTGTCAGATATCTAGACGTGGGCTGAATGATGAACGTAACTAACACTGCACAGTGTCAGATATCTGGACATGAGCTGACTGCTGAACTTAACTAACACCGGCCAGTGTCAGATATCTAGACATGAGCTGACGGCTGAACGTAACTAACACCGGCCAGTGTCAGATATCTAGACGTGGGCTGAATGATGAACGTAACCAATAAACACCGAACAGTGTCAGATATCTGGACATGAGCTGACGGCTGAACTTAAGTAGCACCGGCCAGTGTCAGATATCTGGACATGAGCTGACGGCTGAACTTAACTAACACCGGCCAGTGTCAGATATCTAGACATGAGCTGACGGCTGACCTTAACTAACACTGCACAGTGTCAGTTATCTGGACATGAGCTGACGGCTGAACTTAACTAACACCGGCCAGTGTCAGATATCTGGACATGAGCGTTGTCAAAGTCCAACTACATAACTAGCCTCTCTCGGATATGTGCAATATAATACTTCATACAAGTGTAAGGACAAGCTCTCTCCTATATACAAACGAATATTGTATCATACACATAATGCATAGAATGCTAATCCAGCCATATATGTCGGAGCAAACCCAAGCAAATATATGTACTTACATGTACCACCACCGAACTCATGACATACCGCTGAAGGTATGGCTTCATAAAAAACTTGTTTGCCTTTATGAACAAGAATATGTAATTAACAATTATTCCCTTATCGTGAGTTAGTTTTGTGTTCATGCCATGTGGGCTTTGAGCATTATTCATGAATATGTTATGCGGACGAATGCTATTCAACTGACTTAGCAAGTCTGATGTGCTTTGAATATAAACTAAAAATAATGCACCTAGTCATACAAGCTGGATTATTCAATAACCTGCTGCAGGTTGTGCATGCTTCAATGAATATGTGTCATTGGTACATGATCAAGGACGCCCTATAGTTAGTGTTGATGTGTGGATAAGGGCAGGCATGACAAGCTCACCACGCGTTTCACTGCGCTGCACATGTATATTAACAGTTTAATTAACATTCTAAAAGTTGATAATTTGTTTATCTGTTGTTTAACGCCGCACTCAGCAATATTCCAGCTATATGACGGCGGTCTGTAAATAATCGAGTCTCGACCAGACAATCCAGTGATTAACCTCATGAGCATAGATCCACGCAATTGAGATACGATTACATGTTTCAACCAAGTCCTGACCACCCAAACCCATGGGAAGAGTATTGTAGCACCAATGATGGAATTGAAAATATATACATGACAATGATCAGGTGAATTCAGCAGAAATCGTAACAGTTTCCGTCATGTGTGACGCCATGATTGGCTGACGTAAAATCACCCTTACCCCCTGGATGCCAGAGGGACATATATGTCCTTCCTCTACAACCCTCACTTTGAAGTCGAATAAAATTCAAAATACATCACCCACACAAATACACTTCACAGTTTTGAATAAGGTGGGAAATTACCTGTTCTGTGATATCATCCATTGGCATTTTAGGCCAAGCAAAATTACTGAAAATGACCTCTGAAAATTAGGTACATCGTAAATGTCGCCATTTTTTACACATTACTAAATCACCTCTCACGGCGTTATTTACAGCATGTTTTGAAATCTAAATTTAGGATATTTACTCGGAGAAATGAATTTCCAAAATAGCATATTAGTGATCACGGGTATCTGTCTTTTATGAAATCACCAATGATCATTCAGAAACGTCTCCGATAACCCGGGAATCGTTTCGAATGTTTTGGAAAATACGCAAACACGAACGCCAAAGTGAACTTTCCGCCATATTGGCTAATGTTTACAAAATCACGTTTCAGGTACACCGGTTATGAGGCGCCTGTAACATCGCGTATATTTCAAACTTAGCTGCCATACACACATCCTTGAATTACTCATACATTTTAGAATCAAATGACCAATGGTCTTTGTCACCAATACAAAGTGGCTGGATGAAATCAAGCAAAATATGTTAGGTGTGAAAACGAAAGCTGTGCTCGAAAAACTGCACTTGTTTGAAATGTAAACAAAGCAAAAAACAGACTTTACACAGTGTAGCATTTTCTCCTATTTTGAGCTTTCCATTCGTCTATTCGTTCAAAATATTGGTTCAACATTTGCAGAATAGTCATGGGAAGAGAATCGTAGGAAGAAATAGGGAATTTAAAATAGATACATTGACAACTTCTGTTGAAAATATCAAATCAATGCAAAGTTACCGTCCTGTGTGACGCCATGACTGACGCAAAATCACGCACAACGACAACGGTATTTATCGGAATTTCTGACTATTTCGGTTTGTTTCAATGAAAATTATAACAACAAATAACAGTACATAGATTGTCAGAATGTTTCTGAGTACTTACATGTCACATTTATGTAAATACGATCCCTGAATCAACGAAAGTCCCCTCGTAAAATCCCGCGTACTGTTGACAGTGAACACGCCATTTTGTAAAAGTGTGTCACAGGTAGTGATGTCATACGTCAACATTGTTGTACATATTTGGTAATTTCTTTGAGGTGAAGGTCTTTGAATGAGAGTGCACACGATCATTGTACCATGCTGTTTACAGTTTCAGTTATGATGCAGATTTTGCATATCTTTTATACATTGTTTCACACAATTAGATTCTAATTTCACTTTGGACAATTGTCAATGTTCAAAATGATATCATACGTAAATATCGGCCACAACATGTATGAAGGAACCTTGATAATAACCTGTTTGTTTGAACATTATTTATATAACAATTGATAGGTTTTTAGTGTCGCATACGATATTTCTTTCCTTTGGACAAGTGTTACAAGAAGTGTAAATGTAACTGCAGCATGTACGCATTTCTTGGGATGTGCAATAGTCAATATTATAAGTTCATATTAGCAATGTCCATGAATAGCCGTTTCATTTTATTTTATAACTAAAACTGAATATATTACTTTTACAAAAAGAATTCGGTAAAATATATGCACACATTTCTGAAAGAACTGTCTTGGTCTTGGAACTGTTTTTGATGTCGTTTGATACACAGAACAGTGATATCTAACGATTCGCCAGGTGCGCGTTAGTCACACACATTTTACGAATTATTCCTCTCGTTTTGCATTATATAAAAAAATGGGTTCATTCTTTTTTCAATATTGTAATCACGGGATATTAAACTGTTTACTTAATTTCTCCAGAAATTTTAAAATGTATAACATAAAATCCATGCCAGGTACCCCGTTGGTTCAACCTTATACGATTATCCTGATAATTCTATACCAATATGATAGTGCTTTCTTCGTATCTTTTATTGTTTCATTCTGAGACGAGATGAAGAGAAATACTAACATGATAATGAACAAATATATGTCCAATACAGAATATAATTTTGGTTGTTTTGAAATATTCTTTTGTGAATTTCATAACGTAAATTGATGCCAAACAGGTGCGTGTCCTGTCCAATTAGGATACACGATAAACTATCTAATTGTTTACATATTCAAGACATTATTTACTTGGTGAAAGCAGTAATTTTATGTGGTGTCGAAAAAGCGTCAAATTCCGTTTTACACATCGAGATTTTCCAAACCATGAACGAAAATTATGGGAGATATATATAAATCAAAATACCAGTGTCGTCTTTCTCCGACGTTATCAAAGACATAAAACCAGCCATGACGTCAAACGGAATGGTGTTATTTTGGGGTATTTCATTACATTTGATGATAAAGCTAGTGCTCCATTAATAATGGTGCACCATAAGTCAAATTACACTTACACACTCAGGAGAATGTTGGAATATAACGACTAAGTTATAGGTTAGATAGGGTCATCCATTTCTCTATTACCTTTTTTTTTATGAAGTACGATTTCATCATTTCTTGTGGGTTTTATTTATAAGAAAACGTATACAGTTTCAATATCGATATTTGTGTTGGAATAGTTTGGTTCCTCGTGAACGAAACACAACGAAAATACATTGTCCTTACCCACAGCTAATTCTCACCAATTGACCTGAGTTACAATAACCTAGTGCTAAGCATAGCGGAGTTATGCCCCCTTTTCTTTGTACGCGTGTAACCTCTCGGTCGCCTTTTGACGTCTTAGAGAAAAATCAGTATTCGTCATTTACGGCATGCTATTTTTGGCATTGAATGTATGTCGTTACACTTACGCATATAACTCCATTTGATATATAGTTATGTCGTTCAGATATTAGGCAGTATTTTGTTCGCTGACAGTGTCCGTATAGCTTCGAAATAAAAAAAATCGTCGCACAGTACTTTTATCGATGTACGATAAAAAGCGGAGAAATTTACTGTTTTTCAATGCAGAATAAATTCTCGGACAACACTTAGAAGCGTATTTCTTTAAAACCGGTTTAATATTTGCAGTTAACTTAACACCATCAAATAGGAAATTTAATATTCTCCACCCCTGCGTAATTTTATAGCCAGAGGTAGATCCAGTGCCGCATGAGCGCAATTTTCGCACAACCTTCACTTTTCCGATCTTAGGAAAATGTGCGTCAGAAAAAAAACTCGGCATCCAGAGGGTTAACGACGAAGGTATTGTAAGCAGTACGTCAGATGACGTCACTCATGACCGTTGTGTTATGTATTAATGCGCTACTGCGATCATGAGAACAGACAAAATGCATCGATTCGATCCTAAAACTGTGCGATTTTAGGGTGTGTAAGAAACAGATAACTGCACTCGTGCCTGTCAGATACCATTTATCTTATCTGATAGACACTTGTGTAGTAATCTATATTTCACAATACACTAACAATGCTACATACAGAAAGAAGTGTAGAACAGGCCTAATCCAGCATACCTGGCTCATGGGACACACACTTTACAATTTAAAATACGTTTGAACTTTAAAAATTAGGTAAAGTTTGATGATGATTAAATACTATTTACAAGCCTCCGTTTACACATCTCAATAAGGTAAAAGCTAACGGCGCCTGTAAATCATTATGAGATAATAATAATGATACTTGTTTTGCAGTATTTTCTAATGACTAAAAACTAGTTTTTCTAGATGTGCACTGTTAAAAAGTGAGCTTCATCTCTGTACATATTTACACACCCAGACATCTTATTAATGAAATAGTACTTGGTATATACGTCATATGCCATGCCTCCTGTGTGACAGTACTTGGTGAATACGTCATGTGACAGGTCTCCAGTGTGACAGTAATTGGTGAATACGTCATGTGACATGCCTTCAGTGCGTCATTATGTCATATGATATTCCTCCAGTGTGACAGTACTTGGTGAATGCGTCATGTGACATGCCTTCAGTGCGACAGTATGTCATATGACATGCCTCCAGTGCGACAGTCCTTTGTGTATACGTCATGTGACATGTCTCCAGTGTGACAATACTTGATGAATACGCCATGTGACAGGTATCCAGTGTGACAGTACTTGGTGTATACGTCATAATGCATGCCTCCGGTGTGACAGTACTTGGTGAATACGTCATGTGACATGCCTTCAGTGCGACAGTTTGTCATATGACATGCCTCCAGTGTGACAATACTTGGTGTATACGACATGTGACAGGCCTCCAGTGTGACAGTACTTGGTGAATACGTCATAAGGCATGCCTCCAGTGTGACAGTACTTGGTGAATACG